TCATTGATATTACACTTTGTAGTTATATTCCTGTAAAGTTAAGTGAGAAGTTACTGTGCTCCTCATTTACATTAATGTGAGGAGAATTAGCTATTACCACACATCAACCCTTTCAACTACCGTGCATATTGACACTTATCACTGGGTAAAAACTGAAGCCGAGGGAACTAGTTTCTGTAACAACCCTGAATTCTGTAACAGTTCTACACACAGAATAGCAACAAATTCAAGGCAGAGCAGTTAAATGCCTTGCAGGATCTCTAAGCACTGAACAATTTATGGAATCCCAAACTGTCAGACACTTGTTTATCCACATTTTTCCCTTCCATGTTAAATTTCTGACTATTGTGAGTTCTGTTCCAGGATACCACTCACCAACACTGAAAAGATACACTGAGAGGTACAGTAGAAAACAGAGAGAGAATGAAGGAAACAAGGGATACATCTAAGCGTATTCAATTGGAAACACAGTTCCAAATATGTTATTAAAACAAACCAAAGGGATTGCGTTTAGTGGGTAGGACAGAATAGAAAGGAATGGGAAACTGTGCTTAGGGAAATCCTGATTAAATGCATTTCTTGTTTTCTCTGGGTGCACTACTCTTCAAACTTAGTAACATTTTCCTGCTTAGAATAATAAAATACTAGAACTAGAAGGGACCTTGAGAGGTCATCAAGTCCTGACCCATGACTTCACAGCAGGACTGTGCACTATCTTAGATCAGTGGTCACCAACCAGTAGATTGGGATTTACTGGTAGATCTTGGAGCCTCTGACAGGAGTTAATAACTGGTTTGTCCAAGAGGTTATCAAGCCCAGCACTTCAGCTCCGCCTCTTCCTCCCTCCCACCCCCGACTGCTACACATCCCCTATCCTTTGCCTTGGAGCTGTCCCCCCTGTGCAGGGCAGAGGAGGGAGAGAAGGGGGTGCTGATGTATCCTATCTCAACAGGGCAGAGAGGGGGTACAACAGGGCTTGGGAAGGAGTGAGTTTGCTGGCTGCTTTTGGGAGTGGTGCAGGGCCAAGGCAGAGGTGAGCCTGCCTTAGACCCACTGCACCACCACCCAGGAGCCACCTGAGGTAAACTGTGCCCAGCTGGTGCCCACATCCTGAAACCCTGCCCTAGTCATGACCCCCCTTCTACACCCCAAGACACTGCCCTAGCCTTGAGCATCCTGCATCCAAACTCTGTCCCAGAGGCTGCACCTAGAACCCCCTCAGGGATCCCAGCTGCCTGCCCCTCTCACACTCCAAATCCCTTAATCCAAGACCAGAGCCTGAACCCCAACCCTCTGCCCCAGCCTGGTGAAAGTGAAGGAGGGGGAGGGAGGCAGTATGGAGTGAGCAGGGGTAGGGATCTCAGAGATGGGGCACAAAGGAGGCCTAGCAAGGGTATTTGGGTTTGAGGTAGGTCTTGGATTGCACTTACATTCAAAAAGTGATCTTGTGCTTAAAAAGGTTGGAGACCACCGATCTAGATCATCCCTGATAGATGTTCATTTTACTCATTCTTAAATACCTCCAATGATGGAGATACAACAACCTCCCTAGGCAATTTATTCCAGTATTTGACTACCCTGACAGAAAGTTTTTCCTAATGTCCAACCTAAACCTCCCTTGCTGCAATTTAAGCCCAATATTTCTTGTCATATCATCAAATGTTAAGAATAATTTTTCTTCTTCCTCCTTGTAACACCCCCCCGTTAGGTATTTGAAAACTGCTATCATGTACCCTAATCAGTCTTTTTTCCAAACTAAACAAACCCAGTTCTTTCAGTCTTCCTTCATAGGTCAAGTTTTCTAGACCATTACTCATTTTTGTTGCTCTTCTCTGGACCCTCCCCAATTTTTCCACATCTTTCTTGAAATGTGGCGCCTAGGACGTGACGCAGTAACCCAACTGAGGCCTAATCAGCACAGAGTAGAGTGTAAAACATGACTTCTCGTGTCTTTTTCATAACACTCCTGTTAATGCATCCCAGAATCATGTTTGCTTCTTACCTTATTAATTTTAAATTGCCTTGTCACAGTGTGAGCTTCGTTGAATTTGGTTGCCCAGTTGCCTTTGAAGTAGATGGCATTCACCAAGACTAGTCTGGTCATTGAATCAACAATACCCTGAGCCAACAGATTCTGGATTTTACCTTTAGGACACATGAAAGGAAAAATAGCTTTAGCTGATATACTCCTATTCATCTAGTTGTGTTATTAACTACAGTATCCTCTATCAGCTGCACAATACAACAACCACATCTTAATCTGAATGATTCAGATCTGCTTTCCCCCTCT